AATTTCTTTTTTGTCGTGGTTGAAAAACCAGATATTTTGTCTTACTTAAATTCAAGGTCAATCTGTTTGACCATAACCATTCATAAATAGCAGGCAATTCAGAGTTTATTCTCTATAAAAGTACGTCTAAATCTTTACCAGTCGCAGTTAAAGAAGTGTCATCAGCAAATAGTCTTACGGAAAAGTAGTTGGTTGATTTAACAATATCATTAATATAAATTAGAAAAGAAAAGGACCTAAAATCGACCCTTGCGGTACACCTGAGCTTATTAAAAGAGAACGTAAACGAAGAGTATGTGTAACGTGAATCAAAGAGTCGTAAACCAGTGTGATGTTAAAACATGTCTAGCAGTGGGAACGTGTAAAGTGTTCATGATCATTAGAATATTTGAAATATCACGTTTCAACCAGAAGATATACAATGTATAATACTGAGGAAACAAAAATTATATCAATAAAGTACTAGGTACTCGACCACTGCACGGTCAACAAGGCAATAAGCCTTTCTAAAGACCGACTGAATATAAAAAATATGATTAGTTTTCAGTGAAGTTTCTGTCAGTGCTAAATACTAAAACCACAAAATCATCAGTATTACGAATTACAGCTCTTCAAAATCTTGTCAAAGAGTTGTATTTTACTTCGTTGAACATCCGGCGTTCTTAAAACTGATGACGACACGTCTTTAGTTAATGTTATCTATAATACATGAGTCGGTGGCACAACTGTTACAAGGCGGATGTCCTGTCCTCACTGTCTCACTGTAGCTCTTCCATATCTGTGTCTTAATTTTTTAGGTTGCTTATTACATAAGTGAAAGTTCTGTTAGTGGAGATGTGAATCAAGTGCAAGTGGTTGAAAAACAAGGCACCCGTAATTCACAGTGGAGTAGGGGATATGGTACAGATACAGGCGGGGGAGATACAGTGGGACTCCTGAGGTTGGTGAACAGGAAATCACTTAATTTGCGTTGAAGTTATTGAGCGCAGATGTGCATTAATCTGTACTTTTCCTTCCTTTGCAGACAAATACACAACACTTATGGTGTAGTGACGTCATTTACTGGCACTTACAAAGCAGATCAATGGTCACTGACGTTATCTTCTTCCCAAGGTACAAACTTTCTATTTATGGCCGACTGTTATAGTATAGATATAAAGTAATAAAACAAAAGTTGAATGATTTAAAAAGAACCGTAGCCCGCCGGAAAAAGTTTTAAAATTTGAAAGAAAGATTTTGCAGCTTTGTAATCCAACAAATACTTTTTCTCACACGCGACTGGTCTGAATGCGACACATGACAGAATATGTCCACCTCTAAAACTGAGAAATTTCCAAGTGGTATTCTTCAATTTTAAAAACTCTTTGTGTTAAGAAAAATATTTGAAGCATAATAAACACAAAAGCCCGCATTTGACTATAAAAATATGCTCGGATATATGTCCTGTTATCTGTTCCTCGATGCTCACTTATAGGTTCTCGGAGAAGAAACTTTTCGCGACAAATTAATATCCTGGCTTATTTTGGCGTCGAATGAAAGCTATTGTTATGTGTGCTTTGACCTGAAAACTGTTTCACCTCCAGACTGCAACACCAGTGACAACAATTCTTAGTCACTACCCTCAAGTCGAAGTATGAGGATAGTTTTTAGCATGTATTTTTTTGCCGTGAGTTTTATAATCATGTGTAGTTTGCTAAAGTTCTCTCTGTGTTTTTTCTTTTAATTCAAGGGCTTGGATTCACAACCACCGTAGTCACTACCACAGCTACTACAACCCCACCTCCACCAATACCTACAACCACACCCAAACCAATTATTTCCCAACAGAAATGCATTGGTAGCATTAATTATTGTCCTGGGAAATATGGAGCCCTGAAGGCCGTCTGCAAAAGCGGATACTGCTTTTGTACTGGACAGGACTACGACTATACCACTTGCTTGCGTAAGTTGTTTTACTCTCACAACAAATCAGGGGCTCAGATGTCAAAGGCTAAAAATAAGACACAATCAGTTATTATCATCATCCAAAATGACGAGAAAAAATTTTCGCCATGTGGTCTTTATAGTTTAGATAAAAGTAAAGATGGAGTTCTGACTGAAACAGAGCATCAACTGTTAACTTTAATTTGACAAGCTAACACTGTACATAGTTTTCACTACAGTCGCCATTATTGCCAGAGAGAAGTGTGTTTTTTTATAAGTTCTGTTCGCAATCTAATCCCTCCTAGAGCTTTCTAAGGATAGGCACTGCGAAAGTGATTAAAACCCAGCAATCCAATATGAAAGGCATAAGATGCGCCGCCTGAACAAAGAGAAATTGATGAAATACACTAACCTTTACCGAAAGACCGATATTGTTTCTGTAACGAACAGGATTAAAACTGTAACACTACCTTTTGTAAGTTCGTTTGTGCAAAAATTTTTGCCAGAGAAAAGAGTGGCTCTTTGATGAGGCAAATTATCACACTTTTCCGCTAGAACAGAAAAGCACATCGTTGAAAATTAATCAATTAGTTCATTTTACCCTGGCTGACTAAAATTTTTTTGGGGAAAAATAAGCCCCAGTTTTCAGGCTTTGGAATCAGAAATCTCCTCTGATTAAACATTTATGTAAAATATAGCAAAAAATGTACAAGACAAGTTTCGAGCTCTTTTTGAGGTAGGAAAAATTCATATTTTCTTAGTTTGCAAAAAACTGATTTTTTTTTTTTTTTAAGATTTTATGCTATTTTGCATAGATGTTTAATCAGAACAAATTTCCAGTTCTTGAAATTTTGAGGTAGTGTCTTGAATTCTTGTCCCAACATGATTTTGTTTTTGTCAAAGGTATGATCTCTTAACAACAATTTTTTTCAAAATAAACATTCGAAGATAGAATACTACAGGTCGTTCGAAGGTAAAGAAAGTTTTATCTGATGAATAGAGCACGCAATTTTATCTAAACGTCGACGACGCAAAAACACGTAAAGAGTGAGTAAATCACTGTGAACTGCAAGCACTCCGGCATTAATTAATACGCATAAACTCAAACACCAATACCCCGTTCCCACCCTTGCCGGGGCTTCTTTTGCTGATGCATRAAAGCTTCCTTTCTCAATTTTAGCTGACGCATTTGGATGTCGAATCGAGGTTTCTTCTAATACAGCTCTTGGCAAACCACAGTATAACAATCAACCGCCCCGGCAAATCTACAGCTGTACGCCTGGCAGCAGCTCCACACAGTACGATGTGCACGTACTGGCTGTGTACCAGGTTATTAACACACGTCCCCCATCAGCCGGTGATGCTGCGGTCAACATTGTCAGCGGCGGCCAGTCAGGCCGACCTATTGTACTCGTGTTTGTCAGCTACGAACCTGTTAACTGGATTCTCAGTATTTCAGCTGGCATTACCATCAGTAGAGTCATCTTGGTGAGTACAGTATACAGCGGGAACTAAAACTAACGAATCATTGGCGATGTGATAAATTAGAGACTTAAGACAGCAAGCAGTTATGACAGTTGCAAAGAATACGAGATAATATTTTTCAACAAACTAACCGGGTTTGTAGTCTCTGTGGTACACTTTCAGAATTTGCAGCTGAATCATCAATCAAATTCGAGAAAATAAAAGAAGTCATACCTTTAGGTGTCCCCAGTTAGTATACATTGTATGCTAGCGACTTTGACACGTTAATAAAGTTCTTATCTTTTATCTTGCCTTTTATAACTGACTGGAAGAAAAGAATTGTTTAGAGGAAGTTGTTAGACTATAATTTTATAAAATAACTGAGATACCACGCGCGCTCTTCATTGGGCGATAGCTGTGTTTAGGCGAGAGTATGTAAACACGGTTGTGAAGTTTCTGATTCGCGCGTTTCTTTGAGAAATATTTTATAAAAGCAGTAGAGCACTTTTTCTTCGTGTTCACATAGCCTCATCTAATTACAGACACTTGGTGGGGTTGCGAGAACTCTTAAACGTTATGCAGACCTTCAACTGCATACGTGTAAGGTTTGAGTAACTGTCTCGAATTCTTCGAACTCCCCTCGTGTTTAGATGAGGCCATGAAGACAAAAGAANTCGGGCTTATTTTTGAGAAATATTTTATAAAAGCAGTAGAGCACTTTTTCTTCGTGTTTACATAGCCTCATCTAATTATAGACACTTGGTGGGGTTGCGAGAACTCTTAAACGTTATGCAAACCCTCGACTGCATGCGTCTCAGGTTTGAGTAACTGTCTCGAATTCTTCGAACTCCCCTCGTGTTTAGATGAGGCCATGAAGACAAAAGAAAAGTGCTTTATTGCTTTTATAAAATATTTCTCAAAACTACGCGCGAATCAGAAACTTCACAACCGTATTTACATATTCTCATCAAAACACATCTATCGACTAATGAGAGCGCGCTTAGTATCTCAGTTATGTTATAAATTCTAGTCTAAAAACTTCGTCTAAACAATTCTTTTCTTCCAGTCACTGAAGCAGTGGGAACGTGTGCGTGGAGCGTTCATGATTGCAGATCATTAGTAGATATTTTATAATGAGAAGTTTCATCCAGTTGATATATTATACTGAGGAAACAAAACTAATATCGCGCATCAGGTACCAGACCAAGTTCAGGAATATACTAGAATTAAGTAAATTTTCAATAGACTTTTAATCCATAATAAAACCACGGAATCATCTTAGTCAGGTCTAAATAAAGAATTTTGTCCAATTCTTAGGTTGCTTATTACATAGATGAAAGTTCTGTTAGCGGAGATGTGAACCAAGTGCAAGTAATTGAAAAACAAGGAACCCGTTCCTCGCAGTGGAGCATGGGATATGGTTCAGATACAGGCGGAGGTGATACAGTAGGACTTCTGAGGTAAGTGAACAGAAAAGTGTAGGTCATAAAATTATATAGTTATTGAGTACATATTTACATGTGTATGCTTATCTACATTTTTCCTTCTTTTTCAGAGAAGTGCACAACAGGTTTGGTGTAGTGACATCATTCACCGGCACTTACAAAGCAGATAAATGGTCACTGACGTTATCTTCACAAGGTACGCGAATTCTTTTGTTATTGCCGACCTGAAATTTCATAGTATGGACATAGATAGTTAATAGAGGGGAATGGCTATCAGACCTGACCGAGTTCTTTGTTGTATGTCTTTTTGGCATTAACTGTCCACAAAGCACAATAATCATTTGCTACTGACTCAGAAATAAACATGATATAAACGTTTTTATTACGTAATTCATGCGAAGTCCATGAGCGCAAAACAAAAGATTGTGCATGGTCGTGGACCCTCCGACATAAATCCTGGCATCTTTGTTTGCACATTTTGATGTTTGCCGGGTTCATAACCAGTCTCCTCAATCAACAATGGTATGGATCAATTAAAATAAATAAATAAATGAATAAAAAATTAAGAACCGTACGTAGCCTGTAGAGAAAATGTTTGGAAGCGTTCTCTAGCTATGTACTTTGACTAGACAAGTTCACCTCAAGGCGGTGACACTCATAACATGATTAAAAATTATTGGCCGCTACCTTCGATTTTAGGATGTATTGTATCGCCCTTAGTTGTATAATGTCATTATTTAACATGTATAAGTTGACAGGTTCTTTTATTTTGACTTCAAGGACTTGGATTCACCACCACCGTAGTCACTACCCCAGCTACTACCACCCCACCTCCACCAATACCCACCACCACACCCAAACCAACTTTTCAACGACAGAAATGTTACTCCGGATCCAACTCTTGTCCTGGAAGTTCTAAAATGAAGTCTGTCTGTAAAGACGGATACTGCGTGTGCACTGGACAAGATTACGACTACCATACTTGCTTACGTAAGTTGTTTTTAATGGCCACGACAAATCAGGTGCTGCTTGTAATGTATGCGATTCGGTTCCCGCCTTCAATAATTATGTGCGCCTCGTTTTGGTGTGTGTTTACAGGACCGCCATTTTTGAATGTTGTAGTTTTTGAGATATGTTACAGAAAAGTAAAGGTTTAATTGCAAGAATACTTTACACTGCTCAGAGGCAACATAACGTGCATCAGTCAATAAGACATTTTCATGTACTGTCATCCAAAGACTAGTGGAAATGACATGAAAAGTAGCAATTGAGTTCCAATTTAAAAACAACATTGATCGACTATCAATTCTGGCAAGGTCATCGAATTGCGGTTACGTTTTGAAACAGATGAAGTGGGTTATTTGGGATGTTGCAAGGAAACAAGGGTTTCTTATGCATATGAGTGCTGGTTTGGGATCTAGCACTTTTCCGAGAGCTTTTTAAAGTCAGGCTCTCGGCAAACTTACTAAACTGAGCAACCCAGGTTAAAAAGCATGTTATATACATCTCCTGAAAATAGAGTTTAATTAATGAAAAATGTAAGAGTATAAAAGCTAACAAGTAACGCGTAATTTTTGTTAAATCACGTAAAAAGTGAAGTTAAGCTCATTACTTGCATATAATTTCGGACGTTGAATTTTCGGACACTCTTATTATCATTTCGCACAAATTTCAGACAAGATTTTCCGAATTTTTGCTAAAACATAATTAACGCAAATTTACGCCCACAAAACACGTTTTAGACTGAACCAACATCTGTGAAAATTAAAGTTTTACTGCGTCCTCAAGGTTTTACACACGCATCGACGAGAACTTAAAAAAATTCTGTCAAGCCGTTGCGCATCTCAAGCAGTGTCTTAATTAACTAGGGTTTTCTCAAAAAAGGAAACTAGCGGCTTTGGAGCTATTTCAAAGTTTTATACTGTACTGTAAATATTTCGGCACTTAAAAATTTCGGTCATTTTCATTTCCGGACACTTTTTTGTCTGAAATTAAAATCGTTCGAATTTTTTTGCAAGTACTGTACCACTGTTCCCCTTTTTAGGCTTTCATACGTGTTTCCTTGATAAATATATTCTTGATGCATCAATATAGCAACTTTCTTATTTTCAGCTGATGCATATGAATGCAGAATCGTTGCGAATAATGCTAAACCTCTCGCCAAAACACGGTACAACAAGCAGCCCCCCCAGACAACCTACAGCTGCAAGCCTAAGTTCTGCTCCCCAGAGTACGAAGTCCATGTACTGTCTTTGTACGAAGTTATAAACACAAGTCCTCCATCCGCCGGTAACGCTACCGTCAAAATTGTCATCCGTGCAAGCCTAAACAGACCTATTATACTAGTGCTTGGAAGTTATGAGCCTGTTAACTGGATTCTTAATTTACCACCTGGCATCGTCATCCGTAAAGTCATATTGGTGAGTACCAAGAGATCTCTTGTGAGTACGCAATAGCCAAAACGTGTCAAGGAAATCATGTAAGCTTATTCCATGACATTCCAGACCTATCGACAGGTCCGAGCATTTTCTTCAAATACGGACGTGGTGTAACATGTTGCTGCAGGCTGTTAACCTTCCAATGATTGACTATGTAGTACATGGAGTATGTCCGTTCAGTTATGTAGATAAATTTGTCACCCTTACTTCATAAGGACTTTTTCTCAGACTGAGTTGTATCGGCTAAACCAGCGTACGGTTAGGAACAGACAGATAACGTTCGCTCACATAAGTTACGGATAACTTTCTTTAAAACACAAAACCATTCTTACTGTTTCAGTGCATGCAGTTTTGAATGCCATTTAATTAGTGGGAATGTTTAACAATTATCTTGCCCGCGAGTCGCCAGAAATATCACCGAATATTTAGTCTACCAAGCCGTAGGCCCACTGGAATAAAATCAGAAGATATTCTTCAGGATTGCAAAGATAATTACTTTTGATAATTATTCAACAACGTAAAGAACATTTACAACGGAATATTTGAACAGTGGATATGCGGCCGAAGCCTTGCAAGACGTCGAAAGGGAGGTTAAAAAGCCCCATGAATACGGCCGACCCGTCACTGATGTGCCCAGATGTTTGTGGCCTGTTTGTGGACGGGACGGCTATCCATTGTATTTGGTGATCCATCCATCCTTAGAACGGAGGTTGCACCAAATTCAGAATGTCATTTACATTTTCCACCGGCATTGTAGATTAAATCTAACAAATTCTTCTTCAATCCTCCAAATGAAATTTGTCTTTTGTAGGTTTCTTATTACGTGGATCAAAGTTCCGTGAGTGGAGATCCGATGAGGCAAGTAAAATCAGTTGAAAGACACAGTTGGCAGTGGGGTATGGGATACGGCACTGATTCTGGTGGAGGAGATACAGTAGCACTTTTGAAGTAAGTTTGGTTAAGTGTCCATATCTAATCAATTCTCTCCTCCTGAGAGGTTCCAAGCGTTCGTTGTAGAAAGCCGCTGTGGGTGGTGAGTGCAGGTGCCAAGTCGATTCGTTCAGCGATTTTTCCCCACTCAAAAAAAAAACACCTTTGAGCCTCCGCAGAGGAAAGAGTCCAATCAACTATTCGAGCTTAAAGTTTTCATCTTGAAACCCGAAGGGTCAGGGATTCAAGTACCCTTTTGGCCATGAAGCTAGAGTCGTTTCACAGAACATTGACTCGAGTTCAACTCCACTATTACTAAATAGCCAAATGGTACTGCTATTAATCTTGTTACGTTTATGCTTTTGTTTGCCAATTCTTCCCTGGAAAATTATTTGTGCACAATATTGCATGAAACAGACGTTATTATAGAAACTCTTGTACATGTCTGAGGTGACATGAAATTAATTTGTTTCTTTGTGTTTGTTTGTAGGCAACTGCACAACAGTTATGGTGTAGTGACGTCATTTACAGGCACTTATAAGGCAGACGAATGGTGGCTGCCGTTGCAGGGATATGCATCTCATGCAGTTCCTTCTAATGACTGACACGTCCCCAGTCGGCCTCCTTCCCGACATCACGGCAGCCATATTTGTGTACCAAAACAATGAAACGGCGGCCATGTTAGTGTACCAAACCAATCCTGTGGGAGTTAAACTCTTTTTTTATGTAAACACTTTTTTTCA